GTGTGTATACTTTCCGTACCCACTGTATATATATATATATATATATATATATATATATATATATATAGTGCTTAACACTGACCACCACTACCCAATGTAAGGTTTGTGCCACAGCTGCCCTAAATTAACAGTATTGGTGGTTACCAAAATCATTTTGTGTGAGCTCTTTAGTAATAAACACAGTAGTGTTTAGCGAGCTTACACATATTGGCGGATTAACCATTACAGAAACATAAAAAAATTATTTTGGTAATCACCAATACTGTTAATTTAGGGCAGCTGTGGCACAAACCTTACATTGGGTAGTGGTGGTCAGTGTTAAGCACTATATAAAACCCTCCAATGTGGCTGAATTACAACAATTCTGCATAGATGAGTGGATCAAAATTCCTCCACAGCGCTGTAACAGACTCATTGCAAGTTATCGCAAACGCTTGATTGCAGTTGTTGCTGCTAAGGGTGGCCCCACCAGTTATTAGGTTTAGGGGCAAACACTTTTTCACACAGGGCCATGTAGTTTTGGATTTTGTTTTCCCTTAATAATAAAAACCTTCATTTTAAAAACTGCATGTTGTTCACTTGTGTTATCTTTTACTAATATTTAAATTTGTTTGATGATCTGAAACATTAAAGTGTGACAAAAAAAAAAAAAAAAAAAAGAAATCAGGAAGGGGGCCAACACTTTTTCGCACCACTGTACATACATATACACACACATATATATATATATATATATATATATATGATGAGTTCATCTGAGTGCCATCTGAAATTTTCTTCTAAAATTAGCATTTTTATCATTTTATTTTATAATTGCTGTTAATAGTGTTCATCGTCTGTTTGATTACGTATTTAATTGATTTTTCCGTACATTTCTGCCATATGTACATTAACTGACAGTCACCACTGATAAGCTACTACTAAATATATTGTAGAAACTTAATTTTCTGTAAAGTTGCTTTGCAATGATTTGTATCGTGAAAGGTGCTATACAAATAAACTTCAATTGAATTGAATTATCAGGCTCCTATGTTTAGGTTCAGTAATTTTACTTTAATGACAATGTATAGGTCCTTTTCTATGCCATTTACCCTTAGGTGCTGTTTGGGGTCTTTTTGACCCCAAATGACGTTTGCTGAAATAATAATAATTAAAAAAGTTCCCTTTATCTAAATGGCATGAGAACTTTGTACATTGTTATCAACACTTGGTAAGCTCTACAAAATAAAATAAATTAAATTAAACTGGATTGATATCTGGTTGTATGCTAGTGTGAAAAAAAGAGTCACAATCAGGATGTTTGATATTGACATTGAAATGAATGGGGAAATGATAGATCAATACTTTTTCCTTTTAATTTGTCAAATAAAATCACTAAATCCACCACAATGCAGACCACAAAATACACGAAAATTAAGTGGCAACCCTTCCACACGTTCACAATGCAGAACGATTACGCTGGTATCTCTTAACATAAATCTAAATAAAAACACTTGTGAAAAGTTATATACCTATGTGGAAATGGGCCATTGAGTAATGCTCTTGAGCCATCTGGTGGCTGTAGTTGA